CTTTTGGGGGGTCCTTTGGGAAAGCCTCCAATGGTGCGCGAACTGTCGCACCAACCGCAAAATGGATCTTGAACGCAGTCTGCGCAGCTCTCATACTTTCCACAATACGAATAAGTGCATCCTCTACCCTGTATAAAAACCCAGGAAAAAAGCGGTGTTATATAAAGCAGCATATAACACATTATGATAGTTCTTGTTTAACCATAATTACTGCAATAATACTGGTGATGACGATAATGGTTGTCATGATAGTTACTATAAATTATAATCATGAAGATTTTAAAACTCAGAGCAAAAGAATAAGAAATAAAACAAATATTTCCTCTCCGAATCAATCAGACTTCATCAGGATTGTGAGGTGACAGATTGGATAACAGAAAAGTTACCAATTCGCCGAGAGGATTGAAAAAATAACATCAAGCTAACCGTAGAGTCACAATTAGGAGGCCATTGCTTTTAAACAAAGGAAACCCTCCCTGAATAGGGATGAGGGACTGGGCCTACCATGTATTTACAATCCCAGCTAATCCTTTGTTGGGGATTCGCAACTTTTCTGTTACGTAACCTGTCACCTCACAACGCTCATGAAGTCTGAATGATTCGGACGAAATATTCGTTTCCTTTCTAATTTTTTGCTCTGGGTTTCGAAATTTTCTGTACTAGATGTTGACGTTGTCATGATAAGCATCGATGATTTACTGAAACTAAAAGCAAAAATGATGTTACTGACTAGGAAATTCACTGAGGAAATTCATGTCCGTTTACAAACCCACCTTGAAGCCCGCATAGCACTTGCAAACATTGGGGCCTACGCATTCTCCACTTCCTGAACAGCCATGCAAGTCCTCGCAGTGAAACTTAGAGCAATCCTCCCCAGTCCAACCGCGGTAACAAAAACACACTGAACCAACGCAGTCACCATTGTGAAAACAGCCATTTGGGCAGCTCATTACTGGAATAGATATAAAAAGGCAAACGTTAAATTTTTAAAGCGCAATATGTGGCGTATTGATATTCGTAGGTTCGGGAACCAATTTTCGTAGTACTAAATTCTCTTTATAAAGTTTTTGTTTCTAAAAACTAGGGTTCATTAGGCAACAGACAAAGTACTAGGACAATCCGTTTATAATGTATTCAGTGACGCAAACTATAAGAAATTATTTGAAGCCGTACTAATAATTAACAAGCCCAAATTTTGTAGAATTAGTATCTAGTCTATTTCGTTCCTCGCTATTTCCCTCCGTGATTTCTTGAGTGGTGAAACTTTAAATGGTCACATCTTTGTTGCGTTATCCTCTATTTCCATCGTATTAGAAATTTTCCCAAATGGGGCTAGACAAAATTGATCAAAATTAACAAAAATGCCTAGATTTCAGATTCTTTTACTAAGTATAGTAACTGAAGGACAATACTCAAAATCCAGATAAGTATATATATAACCGTAATAAAGTCATAAATAGATTAATTGCCTGTGAGTCGTGCCACCAGCATCTGACACAATGTAATTACACAATGTTGAAAGATAAATTTTCGTGTGAAATGACAGTCGTCTCTAGATAAATTTAGAAATAAAGTAAAGCATGTGAATAACTGTTAAAGACTGTGAAAAAAAACTGACTGTGTTAAAGTTTTTCAATTCCAGTGAGAACAATTTCCTCCCCTGGTGACCCCGGTCAAAAAATAAAGAGTAATTTAGCAGATATTAAACCTGCTCGTCAAGTATTGAGTATATAGCACGACATGATACGTTTTTTAAAAAAAAGCTTTGATAACTAAAAGAGTATACCTACATTCATTGTTTGTCAATAATACCTGGTCGTCTTGTACAAACAAACGGATGACGTCTATCACAGTCAGATTCCTCAATTTCCCCAGTGTTATTTACTGTAAAGCATCTGTCACTCTTGACCTGTAAATATATTTACAAAGTACTATTAGCCTAGCTTCACTAGTTGGAGGCAGTGGTTTTGCGATCTAGTAATTAACAAAATAACGCCAGATTAATTTTTATTTTTATTTGTATCTATCTGTGCTCTTATTGATGATAGAATTGCATCGCAACATTGTCAAAGTGCTGTGGAAAAACGAGTCCGCCATTTGAATTTTGCGACCATTTTTATTGCTGAGCCCAAAGTTTCTCAGTTAACTATCAATGTTAAGTAACCTGTTTATCAATGGCAAGGAAAACAACCTTGTA